TGGGAGGGGGAGTTGAAATGGTTCGCGACTGGGAGGTGCAGTTGTTTGTTGCGAACCGAGCGTAGGTGTTCTGCAAAGCGGTCCCCGAGTCTCCGCTTGGTTTCCCCGATGTAGAGGAAGCCACACCGGGTACAGCGGATGCAGTATACCACATTGGCAGATGTGCAGGTGAACATCTGCTTGATGTGGAAAGTCTTCTTGGGGCCTGGGATGGGGGTGAGGGAGGAGGTATGGGGGCAGGTGTAGCACTTCCTGCGGTTGCAGGGAAAAGTGCCGGGTGTGGTGGAGCTGGAGGGGAGTGTGGAGCGGACGAGGGAGTCACGGAGAGAGTTGTCCCTCCGGAAAGCAGATAAAGGTGGGGAGGGAAAGATGTCTTTGGTGGTGGGGTCGGATTGCAGATGGCGGAAGTGTCGGAGGATGATGCGTTGGATCCGGAGGTTGGTGGGGTGGTACGTGAGGACGAGGGGGATTCTTTTTTGGTTTTTATTGCGTGGACGGGGTGTGAGGGATGAGGTGCGGGAGATGTGGGAGACACGGTTGAGGGCGTTCTCGACCACCGAGGAGGGGAAGTTACGGTCCTTGAAAAACGAGGACAACTGAGATGTACGGGAGTGGAATGCCTCATCCTGGGAGCAGATGCGGCGGAGGCGAAGGAATTGGGAATAGGGGATAGCATTTTTGCAGGAAGGTGGGTGGGAGGAGGAGTATTCTAGGTAGCTGTGGGAGTCGGTGGGCTTGAAATGAATATCGGTTTCTAGGTGGTTGCCCGATATGGAGACAGAGAGGTCCAGGAAGGGGAGAGAGGTGTTAGAGATGGTCCAGGTAAACTTAAGGTTGGGGTGGAAGGTGTTAGTGAAGTGTATGAACTTTCGAGCTCCTCGTGGGAGCACGAGGCGGCGCCGATACAGTCATCAATGTAACGGAGGAAGAGGTGGGGTTTAGGGCCGGTGTAGGTACGGAAGAGGGATTGTTCCACGTAACCTACAAAGAGGCAGGCATAGCTTGGGCCCATGCGGGTACCCATACCACTGTCCCTAAGCAGAATGCTATGACACCCAAACATTTATCTCTAGCTCTAAAAAAAAGTAAAACAAAAATTTTAGACTGTGAAGGGCTTGCTGAATGGCAAACATTTTAAATTTTCTCGCAAGTCTATTCATATTGCAAAGTATGTAACCTTGCAGTAATGCCTATTATGATTATTTAGAAGGCAGAGATAGCAGGAACTGCAGATGCTGGAGAATCCGAGACAACAAGGTGCAGAGCTGGATGAACACAGCAGGCCAAGCAGTATCATAGGAGCAGATCATGATTATTTAGAAGGCAAGTCTATTAATACACAGCGAATGCAAGCCAGGATGAACTTGGAGAAGTTAAGGTCCCACAGCCTTGCTTGATGGGATCACAGATCATACAATTTGTAATGGAAGGCAGCATGTCCAATTCATGCATTAGCAATTATCCTTATCACCAGAAATATAGGGGAACAATTGTGAATTTGACACACTGATACCCGACACATACAATGTTCTCTCAAGCACAGCTCAAGAATTTAGTCTTATACTTATTCCAGCATGGCCTCGATCCCAATATTGTTATTTGCCTAACACTTTATGTCGGATAGTTGCTTCTGCAGAAACAACTTGCATTTTTAATACATATGGAATACAACAATATATTTCTCCTCAGCAAGATTAGCAACTATAAAAAATAATTGATGGAGGTAACTTTTGGTGGAAGGGAAAATCATTTATAGAGAACAGTGGGCAACAAATCTTAATCCAGTTTGCCCAAAGTCAGAATTACTGTGCCAGAACGATTCCTTCACAGTTAGTAACTGCTTCACCCAAAACTCCGATATCCAGCATTTATCAATGATAAAAAGAAAACTGGAAATACTTGTAATGCAGAAATGTGGCAACATCTGGATTCAGTGGACTTTTGTAGTGTGGACTTTTCAACACTGCTACATGATAAAAATATTAGATCAGATTCAGTACTCATTGCTAAAGATCCTAGTCACTTGTGTCTAAATTAGAATCATTTAAGAGAGTGGTCAACTCCTTCAACGATGTAACCTTACAAACACCACTGACTGCAGAGGTACACAAGGATGCCTTTCTAAGGAAGGAGTAACTGCAATTGCTTATCTGTTTAAATTGTTTCTGAAACCAAAGCTATTAAACGTGATTGGGCAATGAAGATCCTGCTTCTTTTCAAGCAGACATCAAAGTTGGATTCTGAAATTACAGATTAGCATCTCTACTACTTAATTTGTCAAACTGCATGGAAAGCACGTTAGACAAGAAGCTCTAAAAATGCATTGTAACAGTCTGCTGGCTGCTTGCTTATGGTTCGAGAATAAATATCTGAAACATTTCCAGGCCATCCAATTGCATATTGCATTCAGGGTTTTTCTGTGAATCTTGGTGTGTGGCAACAGCAATGGTCCTTGATAAATGGATGTTTATCTTCTAATAACAAGTACACACAGGAGCTCTCAGAAAAGTTGTCCTGAGCATAGCAACTCTCAGCTATCTCAGTGACCAACTGCCTGTTCTTAAAAGTGATAACAAGAACAAAAAATGCTGGAAACAGCAGTCAGCAGGCGTAGAGAGCCTATAAGAACATCTTAGGTGTGGACCCTTCTCTAACACTCAATTTCATTTTTCTTTCATGGGTCCTGGGCATTGTTGGCATCATTTGTTGCTCACCACTGATTGCCCTTGATGTGATGGCATCCTAAGCCATTTCAAAGGGTAATTAAGCATTTAACCCCCTTGAAAAGTTTAAAGAGATCACACCTATAGTATGAACTCTGGAGATGCTGTCTGCCCTGCTGAGTACTTCCAGCATCTTCTGTTTTTATTTCACATTTCTGGAATCCATGATTTTCTTTCTGCCTTTAAAAATTGACACTTGTTTAATAGACACTTATTTTCTCCATAGTGTAGTTCACTCTTTAGGTTAAGTTTGAGTATAAACTGAATCAGCCCAGGGACAGTAACAGAATTGGGCAACAAAGTCTATTACATAGAACATAGAACATAGAACAGTACAGCACAGTACAGGCCCTTCAGCCCACGATGTTGTGCCGACCTATTATCTGACTAGGATCAATCTACCCTGCATACCCTACATTTTACTATCCTCTATGTGCCTATCCGAGAGTCGCTTAAAAGGCTGTAAAGTATCTGACAAGTATTAAAAAGTATTAATAAGTATTAAAAAAAATCTAAACAGATCTTGTCAGTAATATTGGGCTATATTTATGTGCTGCAGTTTCCTTCTTGATAAGATACCAAATATTCTTTAGTTATAGATTTGGGTGGAAACAAAAAAGATTGCAGATGCTGGAATCCAAGGTAGACAAAAAGGAGGCTGGAAGAACACAGCAGACCAGGCAGCATCTGGAGAAAAGGAGGAGTCAGCATTTTGGGCAGTACCCTTCTTCAGGACTGGATGTGGCGTTAGGGGGAGCCGCAGATAAGAGGGGAGTAGTGGAATGGTGGTGAATGTCTGGCGAAAGGTGGTGGAATGAAAGTATCACTTCTGCCAACTCCAATCAGACCCCACCCACCTGGAACATCTTCCACTCCCCTCCCCTCTCTGCCTTCTGCAAGGACCATTCCCTTCGACACTCCTTAGTTCGCACCACACTCCCCACCAACCATTCCAACCCCCCCCAGTACCTTCCCATGGAACTATAAAAGAAGCAACACCTGCCCACACACCGCCTCCCTCACCTGCATCCAGGGCCCTAAACAGTCCTTCCATGCGAGATAGAGCTTTACCTGCATCCCCTCCAACCTAGTCTATTGCATCTGGTGCTCCTGATATGGTTGTCTCTATGTCGGTGAGATCAAATGCCGAGCACCTTCGACTGGTCCATAATGGCCAACCTAACCTCCCGGTCACCGTCCATTTCAACTCCCAGTCCCACTCCCCCTCCGACATGTCTGTCCTCGGCCTCCTCCAACGTCACAGTGATTCAGAATGCAAATTTGAGGAACAACGCTTTACCTTCTGCTTGGGCATCCTACAGCCTGGAGGACTCAACATGGAGTTCTCTAATTTCAAATAACCTTCCCTCCATCCCCCAGCTCTGTTTCCAGCCCCACCTCCTCCCTTCCATTTCACCTACTGACCCTCCCTTCCAGCCTGATTCATCCCTCCCATCGACCAACTAGGTAGTGCCTACTGCCAGTATCCACCTATCACCACCAATCCACTACTCCCCTCCCCTCGCCTTTATCTGCAGCTCCCCCCACCCCCACAGCCAATCCTAAAGAAGGGTTAATACCTGAAACATTGACTTCTCCTTTCCTCCAGATGGTGCCTGGCTTGCTGTGTTCTTCTAGCCTGTTTGTCTATATTGGTTATAGATACCTGCTTTTGTGCTGAAGTAATCAAATCGGAGGTACTCTAGGGAAAGCAGGTAACTGGCTGAGTCAATAGAAGAGTGAGCATCCCTGAAAGAGTGTAATCCTGCATGTCACTGTCAGCTACATCAAAGTCACTCAATGAAGTTTGCCTATTCCATGCATCATCTAAAACACAACAGGGATGTGACTGCAGTGTCAGATCTCTACAAGCTCATTACTAGGATAACAGATTTGTTAGCACTTAAACCAGATCTCTACACACATGCTAAAAATACAAAAGCTGCTGCAGATGAATTTTAATCTCCGGCATCAATCCAAAAAGTCTTTACAAAATGGTAATGACAAATTTTCAAAATCCCAGTTTCCAGTCTTTTCCAAGCCACAGGTCATCTCCAGCTTAAATTCCAGAGACAAATCCACATTACAGCTTTAGTTACTGCATGATGCTAACATATTGAAAAACAACTGCATCAAGATTTTAGTTTAAAGCTGTCAACTATGTTCTGATAACCATAGTAGCTTGTTTTTCCCATACTATAATTTATGTTTGTAGTCAATGCCTGTGCCTACATAGAGATAGCAGCTGAACATTATCAGCTCTTATTGACCCCTTGCTACATTTCACTCCCTTTCCAAGTAAACCTTACTTGATATCAACACAATTGTGTGTGTCTGTGTGAGTGTGTGTGTGTTTGTTTCAGAAAGGAAGAAAGTCTGGAAAGAAAGTCAGTACCATAACATTTCAAACAACTTTACTGAAGGAGGAGCAATAGCCTTATATTAACTGAGATCAAGGAGGATTTGAGAAGCCCAGTAGTTGGCAAACAACCTGCCAAAGTTGAAGATATGAAGGCTCTTCTGAGCTTAATAACTTAATAGCAGAACGTGCAGATTCCCACACAACATCTGGTCTACCTATGTGCTTGTATATGGCTGTAAGCAGGCTCCTGTTGAAATGGTCCCCATCATTGAATTGGGAATTGAGGAGGAGGAAGCTTTGAGGTACAATTAAAGAGGAGGTGATGGACTAGTGATATTATTACTAGACTATTACACCAGAGGCACAGGCCTGGGTTCAAATCTTGCCATGACAGACGGTGGAATTTAAATTCAATTAAAAAAGAATCTGGGATTATGAATCTAATGATGACCATTAAACTTTTGCCGATTGTCAGGAAAAATCCACCTGGTTCACTCATTTCCTTGAGGATCAAAATCTGCCTGGTCTGACCTACATGTGACTCCAGACATGCAGCAATGTGATAAACTCTCACCTGCCCTTTAGGCAGTTAGGGATAGGCAATAAATACTGAGCTTGCCAGCAATGCCCACATCCTGTAAGTGAACAAAAACGAGAGGTGGGGAGGATGGAGGATAAATCTGTCAACAATCACTAGAAGGAGAAAGAAGGCTGTTGAGGCTGGTGCACTTTATACTTTTTTTTCTGATTCAGACAGACATTAAGGCAGGAATTGGGAGGAGCAAAGTTAGATGTGGCATTTTAACAGCCAAGAGGAGGTAGGAGTAACTGAAGCTGAGAGGCTCAAAGATTACTTGCAGGGACTGAGAGGTTTGCTCCTTCTTTTCCTGATGTACTAGGAGTTCTAAAAGGAACACTTCTTCCTCCGTCCCTCAGAACTGGAGGAACACGCACCAGGCTATGTTATCACATGGTCTGATATTACAGATGACCCATTGTTAGCCACTAATAGTCCCCATTAGCAGCTATTCATTCTCCTCCAGTTCTGAGGAAGGGTCACTCAAGCCAAAACAGTAACTGATTTCTCTCCACAGATGCTGCCAGACTTGCTGAACCTTTCCATCAATTTCTGTTTTTATTTCTGATTTACAGCATCCACAGCTCTTTCCGTTTTTATTTAGTATTTAATTAACTGCAACATCTGTTCTAGGCATGCCCGCCTTGAAGAAGTTTTGCTCCTCTCTCTGGCAGGAATTCTGTTCCAATCTTTTTTCTTGCCCACCAACTTTAATTTCACTGTCGCTCCTGGTGTTTGACCAGGTATTTACTAAAACTCGTCTCCACAGCCATATCACATTCCTCAGTGACTGCCTGTGACTCAGAGTTACCCAACATGGATTCCAACTCAAGTTTCATCCAGTGTGCTTTGAACCCTCCCAGGACCATAGGTATCGCCATGATATTCAACATTCCAGAGACAGCTGCACTCGCCACATCCTGAGATCTACACCCAGTGCCATGCCATACTATATATGCTCTCTCTCCAACAGCATCGCTTCACTCTAGCTCAGAGCTGCACCATTCCCCTGTTCCACTACATCCTCTGGCTTATTTGCTGTGAGTTCTGAGGAAAGGTCACTCGAACCGAAAAGTTTACTCTGATTTCTCTCCACAGATGCTACCAGACCCATTCAGCTTTTCCAGCAATTTCTGTTTTTATTCCTTTAAGTAACTTGGTCAGTTGGACTTTCTGCCTTGGATCTGTTGCCAGGCATCCGACAATGTAAGACTATTCCTGAACCTCTGGCAAGCTTTACACCAACAATGACATCTTTGAATGTTATCTGGGACTTCAGTAACCTTCCACAGGAATCTCATCGATGGCCTGATTTGGTGCAGTAAAATTAACAGGGCTGCAATGAGAGTGGTTTGCTTGATCCTGAGAATTTAAATTATACTCTTCCAAAAGTCTTACAGTGTGGGAGATTATAAAACTGAAGGCAGTATTTCTCAAAGATGTGTAAATAATAAGTACAGAATATAAATTTAATATAGCTACCACCTACTGCCAGAACAGCAACTGTACTTTATTGCCTTATTCGATCAGCATGATGATGAAATCTTTTGGCCTTAGCTGATACAATAATCTCTTGTGTAGATTTACCAGAATAGTATTGTGAGGGGTGATAGTGCAGTTATTTTATATTCAACAGGATCTTCCTTTTCACTCATACCAATCATACAAATAAACCTCCGAAATGGAATTCATTTGGGTTATTTCATGATATGATCAAACAAAATAGCAATAAATGATCAATGCTGCTAGAAAGGTTTGCCAAAAACTCTGAAAAACATATTCTACTCTTTCCTCACAGAATCACGACGACAGCAGCATGTATGATGGATCTGAGGAGGTATCCCTTGGATGAACAGAACTGTACACTTGAAATAGAAAGCTGTAAGTTTTCCAATCGGGTTCTTTGTTTCATTGTAAAATAGCAATGATAGAGATCAAGTTGTGGTATTGTGATAAAAGTAACAACTGGTTAATAGAAAATCGGATGTTAATACTTATCACATTTTCTGTGGTCTGATGCCATGGTACTAGGAGGTTTGTTCAGAAACCTATACCTTAGATGACACTTGCTCAGTCCTTGCCAACCTCACAATACTGAACTGATGCAAGATACAGAATTAGCTAAAATTCAAATCCTGCACATTATTGGCTGTGCACAGGTTTCACAGTCTGGAAGGACATAAAACACATTTTTAAAACATCAAATTAATTTAATTTATGAGCACTTCTTTTTACCTCTCTTCTCAGTAGTTGAGCATTAGGCATTAGACACAGCACTTCAAAATATTGTCGTATCTGTCTATCATAAGAACAGTCACAGCACTAATCATCAATGATAGGTAATTTTTTTAGTGCAGGGAAATGGTTTTAAAGCAGAAAAATACAATAAGGTACACATTTCAGCACATAGGGTCAAGAGTAGGCTATTCAGCCCCTTGCAAATATTCTGTCATTCAATTTCATCATGTGGCTGAACTTGATTTAATTTCCTTTGCTCCCTAACCCTTGATACACTAAACTAACCAATCCCAGTCTTGAAAATTTCACTTATTTTCTTATCCACAGCCTTTTCAAGAAAGAGTACTAGATTTTCCCTACACTTTGAGTGAAACTTTGTTTCCAAATTTCACCACTAAGTGAACAGGCTCTGATTTTAAGATGATACCATCTTGTTCTTAACTTGACAAGAAGAGGAAATACTTTCACTGTATCTATGTTATAAAATTCATTTATCATTTTGGTCAAAAGAACATAGAAAGACAATATAATATAAAGATTATATATCTTAAGGAGGTAAAAGTGCAGGGCAAGCAAGAGGTATATAGATTTGAAGATGACAGGATACATTGAGCAAATGCCAATAAAGAACACAGGATCCTGGTTTGATAAATAAGGGCAGTCAGTACAAAAGCAAATAAGTTCTGATGAACATGTATTAAACCTTGGTTCAACCTCAACTGGATCATTGTGCCCAGCTCTAGGAATCACACTTTAGGAAGGATATGAAGGCATTAGAAAGAATTCAGAGAAGAGTAATGAGAACGCTTCCAGGGATGACGAATTCTAGTTATGTTGATAGATTGAAAAACCTAGGAACAGCAAGATTTGTTAGATGTATTCAAAACCTTAGCAGGTTTGGACACTGTAGATAGGAAGAAACCATTGCCATTAGCAGAAGGGTTAAGAACTGGAGGACGCTAGATTAAAGTGATTGACAGAAGAAACAATGGTGACATGAGAAAACAGCAGGCATTCATTAGGATGTGGAATTCACTGAATGGGATTGTGGTGAAAGCAGATTCAGTTGAGGCTTTCAAAAGGCAGTTGGGTATTATCTCAAGAGGGAAAACATAGAGGAAAAGACAGGAATTAGACT